ACAGCTGACAGTTCTCATGGAAACAGGCCTGTGCTTCCAGGCGACTGCCAGACGAGGACCGTGTCGGCCACTGGAGCTGTAATGGTACAACTGGCTAATCCTCAGTTATCACTTCTCTCTCATCTTTGGTAGTGGCTTTGAATTGCATGCCCCACCACACAAAGAAGACAAGAAATGTTAGAATAGAAGGAAAATACTCCAGCATTATGTACAGTACAACTTCCTGGGGTAGGGGGGCATGTTGGTGTTGTATATCCCAGCTGTTGTTCCTGTAGTGTGAGACAGTTTAGAAGAATCATGGCGTTCCACTGCATTGAGATACTGCATTGAAGCATCGTCATCATTCATCACCAACCACAGAGTTGCTTGTCTGGCCAGGTCACATTGAACCATTCTCTGTGAACTGCTGATAGTGCTTCTATTTCTGCTGCTGCCTTCACAGAGCTATAGGTCAATCATTAATTCAGTTCTGTGGGCAGCAAGTGCAGGTGTAACTTCGCTGTGATGTGGCTGTTTTATACATGTTTGTATACTGTACATATATGAGACCAGGTGGCACTGACAATAAGCATACATCAGAATGTAAATATGAAGGAGTGAGACAATATAGATAGTGGCACAAGTGAGAGTCAGCTATTATCTTCTGCAAAGGTTGCTGTATATATTGGGGTAAAGAAGGTGAATGGATGAATCAGCACTTGGACACTTTCACACCACCTTACAGCTCCACAGCTCCATCTAACCTAATGAACAGCTAGGTTAGGAAGCTGGGTTAATGTGACAGCTCCCTGAGGACCGTGGCTTGTGAACAACTTCCACTTCTCTGGCCCAGATGCGTGGTGTGGAGCATGCAGTAGCCTAATCCACTCTGAAAAGGATACGACCATGAGTGCTCAGGTCTACAGGTTAGAGAGTGGAAGGTCAGTTCCTGCTGGCTGTGGGTTCTAACCCTGTTTGTGATCCCCCTCCCCTCCCAGCAATTGACCTGCTCTACTGGAGGAATGTGAAGCAGTCTGGGACCGTGTTCAGCAGTGTGCTTCTGCTCCTCTTCTCCCTGACCCAGTTCAGCGTGGTCAGTGTTGGAGCCTACTTAGCCCTGGCAGCCCTCTCTGCCACCATCAGCTTCAGGATCTACAAGTCAGTGCTGCAGGCTGTGCAGAAGACTGATGAGGGACATCCTTTCAAGTGAGTAAAGCAGAAAGTTGATTTAGAGAGAGTTCATTTTAAAAAGTAGGGCATTTACTTACTAAAGGCTAAAGATATTTTTTTAGTCCTTGCTGTGTTTGCATTTTTTCCCAGAGCCTACCTGGACATGGAAATTGCTCTGTCCCAGGACCAGATTATTAAATATGCTGACAAAATCCTGCTGTACACCAACACCTGTATGAAGGAGCTCCGCAGGCTGTTCCTTGTACAAGATCTTGTCGACTCCTTGAAGGTTTGCCTTTTAGCACTGCTGACAAGGAATAGATTCTGTTCTAACTATGCTCCTGTCATGTGCGACATAAGATCAGCTCTTTCTCTGGGCACCACTAGTGGATTTTTTAGTCTCATGCCATGACAACATTTCATAAGAATACAGGCACCAAAAGGACCTGGTAATACACATAATACTGGTAATATAACGAATGTCAAGTCACACAGGTGCATGACTTAGATAGAACTTACTGTGCAAGTCACACAGGTGCATGACTTAGATAAAACGTATTGTGTTTCAGTTTGCTGTTCTGATGTGGCTGCTGACCTATGTGGGTGCTCTCTTCAATGGCCTGACACTGCTCATCCTAGGTGAGGCCACCCCGGCTGACTACATCTCGCTCTCTCTTTGAGCCCCGTTTTATCTGCAAGAACTAAACACAGCTGTAGACACCACCCACACACCACCATTGTAGATTTTTTTAAATAAACATTTTAGAAGTTCAGTGCACATAATAGAACTGACACAAATGTGTTCCTATTTGAACATATCCTCACTATCATATCATTTCATTCTCTAATTCCTCTACAGCTGTGGTCTCCATGTTCACCATGCCTGTGGTCTATGAGAAACATCAGGTAGGAGTTTGAGCTTTAAAATTTCTGTGGTCAGTCCTGGTTTAGAAAACAATTTCCGGTATTCACACCCATCGTTTCTTTTTCAGGCACAGATTGATCAGTATGTAGGACTAATACAGACCCAGGTCAACTCTGTGGTGGGGAAGTAAGTGTTTGCCATTCAAAATTTTTGTTCAAAGATCACTTAAGATATACAAACAAATGTAGATCGAAGCACAAGAGCAAATCATGCACACTACATTTCTCACATATGCAGGATATTTTACTGATTTGTTTCAACCAAAGTCATCACAACTAAAATAGTTGGACTATAAAGCCTGAAGTTAAAAAAGGCCTCAGATATTAATGTGTGGCACAGGGTGATGAGTCAGATCAGCTTTGTAGAAATGGGAATTTTTGTTGTCTTTTTAATTGGCTCAAACTGGCTTGTATAAATTCATTGGTTCTGTTTTAAGGGTCAAGCTTGTTTCAATGTCTGAAGGGTTGATAAATTGTCTCCCTGCAGTTTTTGGACTGACCATTGTGATTTTCCCAGTTTTAGTATAACTTGACTTGTTGGTTTTGTGGGAACAATACAAAAATAGCAGGTGCTCTGCCCCCTAAGAATGAAGCGGAATAAGCACAGCTTAATCTAGAGTAAATATCATGTTGGATTTATATTAACAGTTGTTTGCTCTGTGCAGGATCCAGGCGAAAATCCCTGGGGCCAAGAGAAAGGAGGAGTAAACCTGTCTGCCTCACCATGAAGCTGACAGTTCAGTCCAGTCACGAAGCTCGCGCACTGTTAAAGAGCCTGGACATCATCTGTGAGGCGTAATGCTTTGTCATCTTGGTGTTCTCTAAAAGCATCCATGAAGGAGAAGCCTTCACCATTGTCAATAGCAGTCTAAACACTAACACATTGTCACTGTAGTTAGACAAGTACACAACTCAAAAACAAAAGAGAAACTTTTCTGTTGCTTATTATAAAATGCATGAAGTCGAGCTTTGGGTAAATAATATTTGCTATCTTCTGTGCAATTTTTAAATCATGCTGTTTTTGCTTTGCAGTGCATTACCACAAACTGTATGGTTTGGCACAAAAAGCTAAATGCCCAGAGACGTGCTCTGCTGCCAATGTTAAATACTGCTTCATGTTTCTGAGTTAGCAGATGGGGCTTCTCTAAGTATATATCAATATATAAATAAATATTTCCTTTTGGTGTTTTCAAGCACAAAATAATTTAACAATACGTGTAGATGTGGTAATTGTAGGGTTCTTGCTTTTGTATAAGGAACAATGCACATGCTCCTGTGTTAGGTACTGTTGTACAACTACTATGAAGACAAGAAGTATCTGGTGATATCTAGCTTGTTTGAATAACTGTCCAACTTTGTACTATGCTCAACTATACTCTGTAGTTCTTTAGACCCTGGACTCTATTTGCACTTACAGTATGTATTTAATTACAATAATAAGAAAATAAATGTTCCTTGATGTACAACATCTCCTCAGCCACCTCACTTCTAAGTTCACATTCCTGAGTTGACTTCAAGTCAAAGACGAGTTTGTGTCTGATACCACAGCTACATTTGAGGTGATAACGCCTCCCTGAGGCTATGCAACATTTGCACTACACGGGGAGAACTCTGGATGTGAGACTTGGAATGAGCTATAAATACAAGCCAGTAAACTCTGGCACAGACATCTAGAAGTGCATGTGTGGTGACAAATTTAATGGGACTTGGGTTACAGTGACACTTTGAATGAAGAGCCTGAATGACAAATCTCATCTTTTGAAAACTTTCAATGGTCTGCTGATGAAGCACATTATAAACAAGCTATACAGGATGGTACAGGACAATCAGTAATGAACTTTAACACTTCTTTAATAGAACACTTACAAACCCATTTGAACCTAAAAAAAATATGTATGTGTATACACACACACACATACACACACTCTTCTGAACATAAAAGAAAATTCAAAGCGAAGACTCAGTTTAGTGACATTTTAGCTGTTGAGGAGAGTGAAAGGATGCAGCTGGAAGAGAACACCTCTTGTCTGTCCACCTCCAGGTTCCACAATCGCTACCCTCAAAGAAGGATCCACCTGCAGGACCAATGCACAAACATTTAATTAAAAAAAAGAAAAGAAACATGCATGTAGCAGAGGTTATTAGATGAAAAACCTCACGATTGGAGCAACAAATGTACCTGGTTCCATTTCCCTGGATTCTTGTAATAGACTGGGGCGACAGCTTCCCTTGGGGGTGACCTGGTGAACAGTCTGCATTACACAATATAAACCCAGGTTAATAATGGCATGCACATTCCTTGAACATTTAAAAATACTACTGATTTCCGTGGGTGTATAGTAAGTGACCTTATGAGGCGCCTACGACAGTCCTCCTGGAGGTGGCTGATCCTGTCGGAGTCCAAGTGCAGAGTGCCACTGGGCCCTTCACATACCAGACAGTTTATAGCTTGTCGTAAAGCATTTATCTGAAAAGTAAAGAAAACAGAACTCAATAATACAAAAGAAGCACTATAATCACGTAGCACTGGCAGTATTAATAATACTCAAAAGGCCCAGTGCCAATCCAGTCAATGCCATTACACTACAGTTTTATTGTAGTACTGGATAAAATATTGCTCCATCTCTCCTACACTTTGGAGAAATACTTTACCCCACTGGAACACAATGTTGCTTTTTTTTGTCACTGAGCATGAGGTGAAATATGGTGAATACTTAAACCACTTAAGAGACATGACATCAATCATCTGTGAAACAACATTTGAGTTCCTGCCCACTGTCACTTACAACACATCTGCCCCTCTGGTGATAGCTGTTACCTCAGTGATGTCCTTAACGTCAAACCTGAAGTCAAAGCCCAGTTCAATGTCATTGTCTGGTAGGATGCTCTCTTGTGTTTGACTGTCCCAGCCCAAGCCACAGAGGGCACCAGTGAAGCATGTCCGCTCTTCATTAGTGCTTTAAAAAACAAAACAAAAAAACGTTTAAAATCAGGAGAAAACATTTACATGGATATTTTGATTGTGCTGCCTTCAAGCAGCAAGTCTATGCATCTAACTAACCGTAACTCCATGACAGGGGTGAAGAGCATGGTAAGGAGTGCAGGCAGTCCCGGGATATCTGGCATGATGGAAGTATCCCTCAGGAGAATCCGTGTACCTGCAAGACAAGCAGACACGCTTACAGCTGCAAAAACAGAGTTTGACAACTGGAAGAACACCTTCAAAAAGACACAGAGCCCTAACTCATTAGAGCCTTAGAGAAATGAGGGGGGCAGCAAAGCTTGTCACCACAAGCAACCTTAGTCATTTCATATAAAATATCCATGTGTACCTGTGACGTTTACTGATATAGTCCCAGCCACCAGCATCCTCTGATGTTTGGAGTGAGGGTTTTCGTTCAGGGCCAGTGAGTTGATGCTGCACTTCTCTACACACACGGACCTGGAGAAGGACAACTTCAGAAGTAATGAGGTGGGCAACAGTGACTTGCAAGTTTAATCTGGTCTTCATGTATAAGGCTTACTTGCAGAGGATCCTTTGGCTCAAGCAGTGGAAGTTGATCTTGTAAGGACTGTATGGCCCATGCAGACGGACCTATGGTGTTAGAAAGGAAGCAGCCATTATTGTGATTCAGAGCTGTGATTACACTGCCACTGTTCTATCAAATAGAATAGATGGGCCTCTGAATGAACAACACATGAACTGAGCCACTGATATGGCTCCATCTCCTGGACAAAACAAACAATGCAGAGGTGATTCCATCATCCAACCAATAACAAAAGATCAGCTTCCAATACATCAAAGCTTTTTTGTAATTGACTACATTTATTTTAGTTTTTAATTCTCATTACTTCTTTAGATTTGTCAAAAAGCTTTACAACAGTTTCTGTGCATTCAGTTATTGTTTACTATCACTAAAATGTTGCTACACATATGAAATGTTCCATGATGTGTCATGTGTTTTACCTTGTTCTTTAAATAAGGCTTCCGGCTCTGAGAGAAGTGGGTGAGCAAGTTGTCAATGAGCTCCTTCTCCTCTTTCTTATGTTCCTTCCAGGAGCTGCTGGCACTGTTGGGGACGTATTTACCTTTTTTCAGGGCCTCATACAAGGACATCAGCACCTCATGGTTTTGCTGCAAGAGAACACAAAGATTAGACATCCTGACTGAGAAAAGCACACAGTATTCAGACTTTTCTGAACCTGAGCTGATGGATGTTTCTCTACAGTAGACATGGGCCCTAACTGCTTCTAACCAGGGCCTGGGTCCCCTAGCTCAACACCTGAAGTCGACTGTAAAAGATCTAGGGGTGATGTTTGACGGCGACTTGAGGTTTGACAAGCAGATCAACTCAGTTGTGAAATCTAGCTTCTTCCACTTGAGGCTGTTAAGCAAGGTCAAGTCATTCCTTTCTTTTAATGATTTTGAGATTGCAGTTCATGCTTTTATCACTTCTAGACTTGATTATTGCAATGCTCTATACTATGGCCGCTGGCTTCCAGTCCGTTTTAGTTTTTAAGGCTCTTAATGGTTTGGCACCATTTTACCTCCCTGAACTAGTGCACTGGCACAAACCTACAAGGTTCCTCAGATCTTCAAGCCAGTTTCTTTTAGAGGTTCCTAGGGTCAGATATAAACGCTGGGGTGACCGTGCTTTTACTGTTGCAGCCCCTAAATTATGGAATAGCCTACCTTTTAATGTTAGGTCAGCTACTGACCTCAGTACTTTTAAATTCTTGCTTAAAACCTATTTGGCTTGGGTAATAATACACAGTAGGGCCTGATGCATTCCTTTGAACTCCTTTTAATTTAAGTTTAATTTATTGAACATATGTTGTGTGTCTGTGTTATTGTGCTGTTTTATTTTTATGTGCACTGATTTTATTTACTTTATTTTAGTCATTTATTGTGGTTTTATTTTCCCATGTAAAGTACTTTGGTCAGCTGGATGTTGTTTTAAAGTGCTATATAAATAAATCTGATTTGATTAAACCCCAATCAAATCTATGCACAACATTAAGACTGACAATCAACTAGAATGTTCTGCAGGTCTGGTTAGTGAACTTGCTACATTTTAGGTTAAGTAGGGCATGTTATGTTTGGTTTCCTCTTATACTGCACACTGCAGATTTCATGTAGGACAGCCTGAGCTCCAAACTGTTGTGTTACCTCAGAGTCAAAGCTTTCTTTGGCCTCCACAGCATGTCCCTCATCCACCAACACGTCTACCACACTGGTGCTTGTTGCCTCTGTGTTGATGAGCAGCTGCACACGCATGACACCATGTAGGATAGAGTACAAAGACACCATGAGAGAGTGGCCCTTAACCAACGTGATGAAGCGGTTGCGGGCTTGACTGCTCCACTGGTTCCCCAGGATCGTGGACTCAGCTGATGGACGTATTCCAATAACGTGAAACTCCTGGGCCTAAGACCATGAGCAGAGTGTTTGTGTGTTTTTTTTTGTTCAAGGTTTGACTTTAGGAACAGACTAGAAAGTGTTAATTACTTTTCTGACAAGTAGTGTCTTTGTAGTTTTGCTACCTGGAATGGGTGAGACATGAGGTCAGGAGGGAGCTCTCTGAGGCTTTTGCAGGCAACAACTTCTGTGTTCCCAAAGTCCAAGAACACCACCTGTAGAATGACAACAAAAAACATACTGTTCTCTAGTACATTAAGTGATATGCATGATTTCCCTATGTTCAATTTGTTAAATTAGGGGTTGACAGTCAAACCAGTTACTGGACTGATTTTGATTAATTCCCTTTAGTCCCTAAGATTATTTAAAATACAAAATGCTAACTTGTCAAGCTTGACCTAACCACCGCCAGCTCTGGTCAGTGATACTCTCCCTCTGCTCTTCTTTCAGTGACTTCATGTGTTTAGTAGAGATTTGTTTCTGGCATCTAGCTGGATCACAATAGTTTTAAACACATTTTATTCCAAAGCTCTGTTAGATACATGTAAAACATAGTGAAATCTGTTGCTGTAACATTAAAGGCCATATACTGAGATATTTTCAGTGCACTCATGGAAGAAACAAATCAAATTCTTGTTCAACAACACTTTTTCCTGACATAATGCATGACCATGTTAGTGTGTTTCTGAGAAAAGACATGAAAAATTAGAGAGGACCAAAAGTAAAGCAGATGTGTTATGACAGAATCAAATGGGTGTACTACATCTTGACTAGAGAACTACAGTGTTTGAGCAATACTCACCTCTACTGTACTGCCACGATTATGCAGGACCTTGGCACGGTAGTACAGACTCTGATCATTGATCTCAGAGTAAGGAGCCAGACACAGCATGTTGGGGTAGGGCACCAAGGTCACAGGACTCAGTGTACGAGTGTTAATGTCTGCTGTCAGATGGCGCTGCTTCTCCAAGCTGGCTTCGTCTGCCTGGAACCCCCAGAAATGACCCACCTCCACCACCTGCAGTAGAGATGCATAGGTTACTCAGAAACATCAATAATTTCAGTGTATGTTTTGAAATTTAACTCTACCAAACTAAGTTAAATGTAGGACTGACCTCTGTGATGTTGACCACAAATAAGGGTTTGGGGGGTATGTTGTCTGGGTCAATACTGCTGCTCAACACTCCCACTGGGCTGACCGACTGCCTCTGGAAGTCTACATTCACCCTGCACAGCAACAGCACATGAAGAACTCCACTTCAATGTTACTAGCACCTTCACTTTCACTGCACGCTGTGAATAATGTGTCACACTGTATTTATGGCTGCTTTGATGTTGAAAGTCATAACATCACATCATTTAAAGAGTTAACAGAGCTGGCCAGCAAGGTATCCTAAATCGACTGACCATAACAATTGATGCAGTTATTTTCCAAGCATTCTTTTTAAGACAAGACTGCAAGAACGAGTACTGGAACAGAGCCTGTCTCTTGCCAACAAACAGAAGTGCTTCAGGAGGGTAGATGCTAGTCAGCTAGTCAAATAATGTGTGAACACAGTCATACCGAGCATATTTCATGTGAGTTACGGGATTGTTCCCAGCACAGATTTCTATTTCTTCAGTGGGGTAGACTGAGAGCTCCATGGGAGGGTCCTGCTGGCCCAAGAGAAGGGCAAGGGACACCTCAGGCAGCACCGCTGAGTCTTGAGTCGTCTTGTAGAACTCCAAGTATGCTCTTAACACACCAACATAACAATGAGTGTGCGGACATACTTTATAAAAATAATTAATGTAGACAAGGTGTTGAAGCTTGCTGTCCAATTTGCTACTGGCCTTCAGTACCTGGAACTCTCAAAGGAAATGGTTTTGACCTGTCCACACAGGCGGAACAGAGACTGCAGCTGCTTGTAGTAGAGAAAACTGTATGGAGGGAGGTTCCTCAACTGGACACAACACATGGACGGATGATACAATTTCAAAATCTCTTCCTCCTATGAAGTAATACTAAAATATTCTAATCATACTAGCAGCCCATATTCGTGGTTATTACATGCAAGGTATGCATCTATCAATCAAAATTTTACATTGTAAAAATATTTTACAACTATCATCAATTCAAACAGGAACACAGGGGTACGACCATCACAGTAGTTCTGGGGTTGAAGCCACTCAGTTCTCTGGAGGCCAGGTCTTCATTTATTTCACTTTGGACAAAGTAGTTGGGGTAGTAGGCACCAGCAATGACCATCTAAGGCAAAGAGTGAGCAAGAGGTACAATCTGAAAACAACATACTGTATATGTGTGCGCGCACACACACACACACACACACACACACAAATATATA